CAAGGAATAAACTCAAAGTCATGGCTTTTTGTACTAACAGAAAAACAAACAGATCATGTAGTAAGCTTGTACAACACAGAAATAAAAAATGATGCAACACGACCAAGATGCGGAAGCACAATTACTTCAGAAAAGAAAGGATGTACAAAATGAGTGATTATGCAAGCAGGTGGGAATAGAATATACAGGAAAGAGGACAAATCTCAGACACCTAAATTTCACCCAAAAAAGTCCTCAAAACAACCCACTCCAAAACTCCTGAAATGCTTGGCGAGCTTATGAGCAGAGGAAATTTGACATAAATTCCAGTATTATGTTTCACAGAAGGTTTCAGAGCTTCCAAAGATGGGACCTAGTTGAAGAGCAGAAGTTCAAGGCAGGAACAGCAGCTTCATGCAGTCCTCATCTCACCATACAGCTAACATCCCATCATCTCATTTAATCTTGTTCTGCTCAATGTAAGTACATTTATTTCCTGGAAACACAACACTATCCTACTCTATAGAAAACAAGATATACCCACTGGCTGATCTCTGACTAAGCACCTTTCGGTCCTCCAGCCATAAAATCTCCAGGGCATTTTTTTCCCTCAGTCTCCTATCAAATGAAGTCCAGCTGTGTAAGATATGATTAGCACAAGTGAAGCTGAAAGCAGACACCAGTGGAACACCTGCATTCTGCATGGAGTAAACCTATCACTGCCTCTTTTCCAACCCTTAATACTTTCCTTTGCTACCTTATGCTAAGCAGCTGTACACTAAATGCAACTTTCAGAAGCTGAATGATGCTGAATTATCCACATTTAGTCAGAAGGCTGGCATACAGACTTGAATTCATACTCGTTCTCCTCACTAGCAGGTGTTTCTTCCCAGAATTCCTGCATAAACTGAAGCTAATTATTCTGCATGCAGCTACATGCTGGGAGGGGGAAAAACCCAACAAAACAGGCCTTAGTTCTGTAGACATTTTAAGACTCATTTTATCCAGTTAAATTAATGTGACTGTCAACTGAGAAGTCTCAGCCAGGACAGAGGCTGTGCTTCCCTCAGTCACTGAGCACAACAGCTGCCCAAGTCACAGGTTATACAGAAACCTTTCTTTGTTGTTAACACCGCCTCATAACATCAAAGGAAGAGAACTCAGATAATTAACACAATATCCTGGTTTTATCTGCATTTCTTTGTGGCCAACAGTTATGTATTTTATATACTGCAACAGCCTGGTTAAATTTTAGGCCAGTCTGCCAGGCATTTACACTGGCACCCCTTTAAGGCAAGGAAAAGAGAAAGAAAAAGACATTTTCCCTGCAGACCAAGAGTTTGCTGTGCAGTCACATGGTGAAAAGAGCAAAACAGGATGTGAAACTGATCCGAACAGTAATTCTTCTTTCCATTTCCCAGACTGTGAGCTCCCCGTGCCCTCCCAAAGCAGTGCCACAGCTGTCCCTGCCCGAGCCTTCCCAAAGCGGTGCCACAGCTGTCCCTGCCCTCCCAAAGCAGTGCCACAGCTGTCCCTGTCCCTGCCCTCCCAAAGCGGTGCTACGGCTGCCCCTGCCCTCCCAAAGCGGTGCCACGGCTGTCCCTGCCCTCCCAAAGCGGTGCCACAGCTGTCCCTGTCCCTGCCCTCCCAAAGCGGTGCCACGGCTGCCCCTGCCCTCCCCAGATTGTGCCACAGGTTCCCCGCCTGTTGCACAGAGGGCACAGCCGGGAGCTGCAGCCGCGCATCCACCTTGTGCTGAAGGAAAACGCTTCGAGCCCGTAGAGAATCTTTTCGCACACCTCAGCGACCTGGTGAACGCTGTTAATTATGAAGATCACTCACATTCTCCTTATTATCACATTTTTTAACACCTAGACGCCATAGAAATCAGCACTATTCGTACGTAAAGAAAGCCGAGGGTGTACTTCATATAAATCCCGGGACGCGATGCAAACCATTTAAAAGCGCCCACCGCCAGCACAAGCAGAGCTGCACCAGCCTCACCCGGGACAGCCGAGCCGGTTCACCGGGGCGCTGCCCCGCTCGCCGCTCCGGGGCTCCGCACAACCACGCTTCCTTAGGCACGGCCGAGCTTCCCCCGCCTGTGTGCAACACCGGGGCCAGAGGAAGCGCCCGATTCCGGCGGGGCCCCGCCGCAGCCCGCAGGGCGAGCGGTGCCCCCCGCCCGCCGCCGCACGTACCTCCACGGCCTGGCCCAGCTCCAGGTCGAAGCCCACCACGCACACGCAGTGCAGCCAGGCTGAGAAGCGGTCCCAGGGCAGCAGCGACAGGCACTGGTCGGGACTCTCCGGCTCCGCATGCTCCGCATCCTCCGCAGCCACCTCGGCACCACCCAGCCCCGACTCCGGGCCCCGCTCCCGCCGCGACATGGCCCCGACCCCGGCCCCGCCGCGCGGAGTCAGGTGACTCGCGTCGCCCCGCCCGCTCCCCCCGGAGCCGCTCGGAGTGGGAGGGGCCAAGCAGGCACCGAGGGAGGCCAAACCATTCCTGCGGGGGGCGGGGGGGGGGGGGGGGCGACACCCCGGCCCGGGGGGGGGTGCTGGGGGCCGTAGGGAGGGAGCGCCCCCGCGCGGCCCGCCAGGGAAGGGCTGCGGTGCTCCCGGCCCGGCCCGGCTCCTCCAGGCCGGCACCGGGCGGGCGGAGCTGCTCGGGCGGGGAAAGCAGCTCCTGTCTCGGGGCTGCGGACACCGCACCGGGCCCGGGGAGCCCGCCCCAGCGGTGCTTATTAGCAGGGTGCTCGCGAGGGCAACTCTGCAGGCAACGCATCAGTCAGCGCTCTTTGCTCTTTGACATGTCAGTGACGGCACCTGCTGGGGCCGCCAGGGCCGCCGAGTAATGAACAGCCGTGTCTCCAGCGTGAGCTTTGCACCGCTGAGCGCGGCGCGGGAGGGACATGGAAATACCCGTCTGGCTGATGGCTGCACAGCTTCACCCTCGCAGGATCACTGGGATGATAATAAAAAAAGCATCCAAATCTCTTAAACCCTCTTTTATTGCCTTAGCCAAAGCCCAAGCTCTTTAATAATGTAAGAGCTTTCAAATAGTCTTTTAGCACAGTCCAACAGCTATTTATATTTCATTATGAAACATTTTGTAGAGTTAAAAGCGCTAAATAGCTACTTTATTTAACAAAAAAGAAAAAAAGAAAAATAAAATGTCATGCATTCACCTCCCCCAAAACTCCATACCTCTTTTAATTTAATTATTCACACTAGATTTTGGTTGACTGCTACTAGAATAGCTTCAGCAGCAGTAGGTGTAGATGAGCTGCTACCTGAATCATTACATGCCATTTTTTCTCCAGAACGGGAGTTGCAAATATTAAAACCAAGATAATACATCTATACTTACTTAAAAGAAAATGTAGGATGCCTTAGATGCACTGTTTCCTTAAGGCCCATTAACAACATTTGTTTTTCAAAAGCAAACAGCTAGAAATTAAAAGTATGCTTTGATCACTGGATTATTTTCTAGACAAAAGATGAACAAACATATAACTCAGACAAAATTATAACACACAAAATTATCATGGTAGTAATTTGAGATACAGCGGCCTTCAGTCATCTAAAGCATGAGCAGCAAAGTGAATGTTAGATCCAGGCTGAGATAGGAACGGGGTTCTGCAGTGTGCAGCCTCGGGCAGGCTCTGTGGGAAGGTTCTTGCTGTCTCCAGCTGCTTCAGGTGTTTTACAGTGATACCATGCAAGACTCACAGACAAGTAGTTAACTCCTAAATTCTGTAGATTCTCTTGACAAAAACATTCTCATAACTAAGACTGAGCTTAATCAAGTTCAACTCAGTGCAATGAGTCTCAGTGGAATTTAATTTGCTGTTTCCACTTAGGAACTTAAATGGCCTGGCCAAAAGCTTTCATCACTTGGTTTAAGAAAAGATTTCATGTCACCGCTTCTTATAAGCCTTCCCTTGTTTATATTCTTGCTGTCATGGGCAAACCAAAATTTTTAGCTATTATCATCACGCATGTCCTTCTAGTTTTTGCTGGCCCCTTCTTAAATTTCCATGTGAATAAAAAAGTGTAAGTGTATCTATGTGAAATAATAAGAATAAAGTACTTACTAAGAGTGATACATTTTATTAAACAGTAAATTAATTCCACTGGATGCTTAACAAATAGTCTTTTGGCAGGAAAAAGTTAAGACAATAGACACGTGATCCCTGATAAAAAAGTACAGAAGAAAGAATTCTTACCTACTGGAGATATTCCAAATAAACAGTTATTCAGCAAGATTTTTACTTAGCCATTTTAAATACATTTTAGTTTTGACAAAATGTGACTATCCCCTTCAGTTGAGAAAGAAAAATATTTCTGCATGTATTGTAACATTTAGAAACATCTGAGTTTCCTTTTCAAGAAGCATCAATGCAGGACAAAAAACAGACTTCAGAGCTGGGGACCACCTAACTGAGAGCATTTTGCTACAACTTGCAATAAAGCCTCATAAAACACCAGGGCTCTGCATATGGAATATGCCCTTACAAATCTCCAGGAACTCTGCTTTGTTTTGCAGAAATACAGCCACCTGGAAGGGTTTGGACAAGAGACACTGCTAGAAAAAGCATGCCCTTGATGTCAGTTGTTGGAATAAAAATGAGAGAAGGCCTGTGTGGGACAGCTGGGCTCTAAAGATCCACAACTGCTCAGTGTTTGAGCCTGCCTTGCTTTCTCCCAAGCTCTATCTTGCTCCTACAGCTGCCATCTCTCAGCAGGATGGTTTCTATCAGGTAGCTGCAAATGCTGTGTTGGCTGCTGGCTGGCCAGGCTCCATCAGCTTCAGCAGGGAGTGACTGTGCAGACTGCTCACATCCACTGAGAAACACCAAAGAACTGCATAAACATCATCTGCTCATCTCATCTTCCACTCCATCCCCCGCCTCGAGATTTCAGTTTAAAGCAGTATTTTATTTGTATTTGAAAATTATATTTGGTCTAATAAATACATTCAGTTAAAACAAATAAACACACACACACACAAAAAAGTCGTAATTATTTTTAAAGCATCTTTTCCATTTTTCAAACAGCCACAGAAAACATCAAACATTTCAAAAAGTCAATATTAATATTGACTGTTAAATTGATATATTAATAGAAAAGCAAATAAGAGCTGGTCACATGATGACTGTGGTCTGCTATAATGATAAAGCAGTGAAAATGCCAGATATTTCAACTTGCCTGATTTAATTTGAAATGAAAAAAACACTGCATGTGAAATTAGCTATATATTAGCATAACATGTATTAATGGTATGCATGTTACATTGTACTTATGTATGTATACCAAATACATGTATTATCAACATACTGTGAAATGTACATTGTATATATAAACAGGATAAACATATATTAATTATATATATTAATTATATATATATTCATACATAAATATATAATAGGAGATATAGCACATAAAAATAATAGATTTTAAATCATTGTATAAAACACTCATTTTTATTACATAATCTAAATTGAATAGTATATTCAGTATATGCTCACTACATATATAACATTAATGTAAATGTTATGTTGGTAAGACACTCATTTGTATACTGGATACAAGTATCCTTTTTTTAATGCAAACCAGAAATAGGAGCAGGGAAGGATCTGAAAGAAAACTGAACAAATGGAGAACGTACCTGACAAAAGAGGATTAAACTGGTAGAATTGCTTATTCTTTCAAAATTAACGCCAAAAGATAATGCAATTGTTCTTTCTACAACCAGTCAGAGAGTTAAAAGATCATAAACAGAAAATAAGTCTGAAACTAAAGAACAATAATAGCACTAAAATAAAAATGTGCAACCCCTTCACTAAATCCGGGGTGATAATTAGAACCAATTTTTTTTAACACTGGAGAAAACTTCTCTGAAACATCTCCTTACTTTTGACTGCTTGGTTCAGAATGTTTTAGAAGCCAAAATCTCGATGTTTTCCAGGTATGCACATGAACTATCTCATCTGCATTTCATCCTCCTGAAACAGACACCAGCTCCATAGGGGATAAATGTGACAGTGCCAGTCCCCTAAAGAGCTCCCTTTCCCTTATCCAAGATGGAACGGGCTCTTTCTGCCCTCAGCTATGATGGCTAGCATAACATTTTCATGGACTTCCTGCCCAGAAAAAGGAGGGACACAGTTGGCTCCGGCTGCCCTTACCTAACATGGCTGCGAGGTGCTCGCCTGTTCCACTGTGACAGCGTTCGCAGAAACGAAGCAGGAGCTGACACTTCCCTCCTCCTCCTCCCCTTTCTCCTCCTCCTCCGAGCACAGCAGCCAAGCACTTCACACCAACTCCTCACCCACCTGCTGCTTTCCACAGTTCTGGGATGGACACTTTCTGGTAAGCAGCAGACACCTCAGAAAATACCCATACAATAATTGTATCCTCATTTCAGAATGCAACTGCTTTCTGTAGTTTCATCTTGGCCTTTGACTCTGCCCCTGATAACTTCTGAACTCATCAGGCAATTTGAAATAGGAGCTGAAAAGCCTGAGGGATAACTACACCCACGCAGCTCCACTGAGCTGGCACTCAGGCAGGGAAGGAAGGGTCAGATGGATGTCCTGCCTGAGCAGTGGGTACAGCTCAGCTGCTGCATGAGCCACCTGGCAGTGCCACAGAGAACTGGAAAGGCACCTACCATTGCCAGCTACTTTTCTCATCGCATTGCGTGAGCCTGGCCCAGTGGGACTTCTCCAGGGGAGGAAGAAGGGTTCAGGAAAACATTATATGCCAGTGGCTTACAGTTTAAATGACACAGTTATATTATATTATGTTATTATAAATACTTAGAACATCAGAGAAATGTATCCACTGCTCAGTTTATTATTTTATCTGATTCTCTTAGGCCCCATAGATGGTAATGGATCTTTTTCATCTCTTATTTTACTTCCAGTCTCCCTTCTCCATTAAACATGCACACAAAATATAAAAAGTGTTCTCAGAAACATTATTTTCATTCCAACACCTGTAGTACCCTTTGTCCACACTTTTTACACTTTGCAATTCCAAAGTGCTCTCAATTATTTCTACTTTTGCAACTCATTCCCTCAAATGTAACTCCTAATGGACCTAAATTTATTCGCACTTTCTCTATCTTTTTATACCTTTCCTTCTCCCTTTGATTAGTTATGGCACTTTGTGTGCTGTAAGCAACAGCCACACAGAATTTCCACTCATTAAAATAATTAGTAAGAGCAAATTATGATTATATTTATCAGCGTAGTACAATCTCATAAGCTGATGAAAGCCATGAAGTGACGTGCCAGATTTTTTTCCCTGTCAGGAGAATTAAAACTACAGATAAACACTTCTAAACATTCCACCTATCAGTTGTTTGTTTTTGTCTTCACAAAATCAGACTTTAATCTTGGATTTAATTTGTTTCCAACACAGATGCTACAGCCTAGTTTTGCTGTCATTTTCTCACTGGATTGTTGGAAAAAAAGTAGTCTGTTACAAATCAACCTCCATTCCCCAAATCACAGTGCAGTCAAAAAGAAAGGGAAAAAAATGAAGACACCCCTGAGATTTTCCTGTATTACAACTGAGAACACACCAATCATGCTTTGTGTCATACACTGCACTGCCTTACCTTGATCTCTGCTTTTCCCCTCATCCACTGCTGAAGTGCCTGGCCCAGCTGCACTCCTGTCCTCCACGGCTGCCAGCTCTTTCTGCCATCTCCCATATCCCTAATTCCTAACACCCTGTCACTGGGTAATTATAGTGCTGGCATGACCCCAAACATCTATCTTACATCAACAATTCCTACTTGTTTGCTTTACAGGGAATGACGGAATTAAAAATGTATTTGGACTGGAGAGACTCGTTCGGCACCAGATGACCTTGGCAAGTGACCTTTCCTTGGTTTCTAGCAAACAGGCATAAATATGACCTTGGATGATGCTCCATGGCGTACAGAAGGAAAACACAGCAGTGTCCCCACCTCAGTCCTGTCCCTGCAGCCACTGCTCCACGAGTCCCCCTGCTCCAGCTGCCAACCTGCAACAAGGCATGGCAAACACGGCCAGCATTGCTCCGGCCCCAGGACACATCACACCACACCGCGGTATTAAACTTGGATCACGAAACGACCAGACACGCACAGGGAAAGCAGCAGCATGTTCAGGAGACTCCTGCAGTTTCACATGCAAGCTCTGCTGAGAACGTGTCACCCCAGCTCCTCCTCTGAGCTCCACCCTTTCACAGAATCACAAAATATTCTGAGTTGGAATCAGATCATCGAGTCCCAACTCCTGGCCCTGCAAAGGGTGCCCCAAGAACCCCACCGTGTGTGTGCCTGAGAGCGCTGTCCAAAGGTTTGTGAACTGGCAGTCTTGGGGCCATGACCACTTCTCTGGGGAGCTCGACCACTCTGTGCGTGAAAAGCCTTCTCCTAAAATCCAACATAACCCTCCCCTGACACAACTTCGGGCCATTCCCTCCCCATTATGTATAAGGGCTGACGGGCTCCGCTCGCCCCCTCCCTCCCAGAGCTGAGAACAGCGAGGGCAAAGCGACGGCGCGGGGCCGGGGCTCACTCACCTCAGCGACCTGCCCCGTGCTAGCACGTCCCAGCCGTGCTCCTCCGGGCGAACACCGACCCTGTCCCCTGTCCCCGGTCCCCTCACCCCTGTGCCCTCTCCCCTCTCCCCTCCCGACCTAGCCCGCCGCCCCCTCCCGCGCGCCCGGAGCGGGGCGTGACCCGCCCGTGCCGCAGCCTCACCGGGCGCAAGGCGCATGCGCGAGGGCAGCCGGTGCGCACGCTGCCCGCCCCCGGCCCCGCCCCGCCCCGGCCCCGCCGCCGCGGCCACACCGGGAAGGGCTCCAGGCGCTATGGCGGCGGCTGCGCGCAAGGTAAGGGGGGAGCGGGGCGCGTCCCGTGCCGCCCGCGGGGCCGAGGAGACGCGGGGGGACGCGCCGAGGGAGGCGTCTGACCCGGTTTGTTTTGGGCCCCGCAGGTTGGAGGAAACTTCCCGCGGCCGGTGGCTTCCTGAGCGGCAGAGCGACCGAGGGGGAGCGCCCGGGCCCGGCAGCCAGGCCTCTCCCGCCGCCGGGGCAGCGGAGCCGCACTGGGCGGGCGGAGAGCGCGGGGGTGCGCAGCGGGCCCGCCTCATGCGCAGTCACCTGCGGAGGGGCTGAGCGGAGCCGCCGCCGCCGCGCCCCGCGCCGGGGGCTCCGGGCGAGCACTTCCCGGGGCTGCCCCCGCTGCCCGGCCCTGCGGAGCCGCCGCCGAGGGACGCACAACGACCCCACCACCGGCCGGAGCCGCGGCCGGGGAGCGACCTGTCAGGGCACCTCGCAGGCCGGCCCCCAGAACCCTTCCCACGCGTCGGTTTGTCCCCGGGAGAAGGCGAGTTGGGAGCCTCTCCATGCCTTATCAAGTTCCTTATCTGAGCGGCTCCCAGAGGCTGTAGAACAGTTCAGCTTTATCTGGTGTAAGGGAGAAAAACAGTGTAGCTCTCGCACTCCATCCTGTATCGAGGACCACCTATTCTGCTGGGGTTTATCACACGAAGATGATGAAATGTGGATTGCTGGGTGAACCATTAGGTCTCTGTTGTGAAACGAGGGCTTTGTATTCGCCTTCCAGTTCCTGATCTGTGCCGTGTGTGAGAGGACGCTAATCTTTCTCCTTCATCCCCCTTCCCTAAACCTTTCCTTGCTTCCATGTTGCATTGGTCAGACTTTTGGTCAGTGTTGTTTACGGAAGGAGGGGGGAAGAAGGCAGTCGAGGTTACAAACAAAAGTACTTGTATGACTCATCTACTTGGATTTAAGACATTGTATCCTTCTTTCACGGGGCCTTTGCTTCTCTCTGAAGGAATCAGATGCTTTTTCCTATTCTTCCAGAGGAGGATGGATTGAAAGTTGTACGTTTTAGACTTTTTTTGGGCCACTGCTGATATTATTAAAAGACATAATGGGACTTTTTCACTGGATTATTGCCAGAATTAGTTTACACACTGAAACAATGAGTTGTTAGGCCTCTCATATGATAATATTTGTCCTGCTTTAATATAAAGTTGCTGTGGAGGTGTTTTTGAAATTGCGGAGGACAGTCTGCATCAGAAGAGGCTCTCTTCATCTCTGGTTGGTGTAGCAACCGCAATCTGTCCTCGATGCCTTCAGCCTTGGCCATCTTCACTTGCCGCCCGAACTCCCACCCGTTTCAGGAGCGTCATGTCTACCTGGACGAGCCTGTCAAGATCGGCCGCTCGGTGGCTCGCTGCCGGCCAGCCCAGAACAATGCCACCTTTGACTGCAAGGTGCTCTCCAGGAACCATGCTCTGGTCTGGTTTGATCACAAGACAGGCAAGGTAAGATGTTAATTTAAAAACACTGAAACTGCATTTATTCTAGCAAGTCCCTGTGAATTGTGGATGGCTCTGGTTTTGCTGTCATAAATGGGGTTGCATAGGGCAGGAGTAAGATTTGTTTTAAAGCGATAACTTTCCAGGTAAGTTGGTAATTTCTTACTAAGCAGAAACTTTGAATATTATGAAAAGTATATGAAACTAACAGTTGAAAAGGGTTAGTTAAAAGGTTTACATGTGTCTTATTTATGACTGGAAATAGGTGATTTAGAGGTGAGACGAGGTGTGAATGTGAAAGCACATTTATCGATATAGTGGTGTCATAGTATTTTTTTCAAATGCAGAGAAATTACTGTTTTATTCGTGTGTGAAAATTGATTGTGAGGAGCGTTGAAAAATGGATTTTAAAAAGATACTGTTCTTGTTTGGCACTCTTCCTACTTGTCCTTTTGAAATTTTGTGGAGTATTTTGTTTGGTACTGATAGGAGGTTTATTACTGGCAACAGGAGTGTAATGGGTGGCATTCATGATATAGTCTTATTGTTAGTGAAAATGGTTTTAAAATACATCCTGTGTTCTTGACTGTTCCCCTCAAGTCTGGCAGTCTTGTTAAGCAAAATTGAGGGGTCCTGTAGTGCATCTTTTGTCCACTAGGGATTGAACTGGGACAAGTAAAGTTGTTTTACTTAATGACTGTCAAGTTAATTTTAAATATCCAGCGAAAAATTAACAAAGGGCAGACTGCAGTTGCTGAGCACTGTATTCTTTTTCGAACTATATTGATGTTATGCTCTAGAACTTAACGTGTTGTAAGTCAGCTGGTTTTTAGCTTTACACCAAGTCCTTCTATGAAATGCAGTCAGTGCAGAACTGGATTTTAAGAATAATATGGTCTGTAACTCATGCAGATTTTTTCAGTAGTATGACACAGCATGAGGAGCAGCACAACGCAGTCAAAGTTCTTAAACCTTCCATTGTTAGCTATCCTGTATTATGCAATACTTGGACATGATGGGACAAGACAAGCATTTAATTTCTTTAGGCTGGATTATGGCTTTCAAGTTACCTGCAGGTAATTGTGCAAACTGCTATCTGTATTCAACGTTTCATTAAGCATCTTGCTTTGGCTCTGTTGTGTATGTGATGTGCATTCTTGGATTCTAGAAAACTTAAGTGCTTGAAATACTTTCAGTGTAGTCTTTAACCTTTCTTGTTTGATTCAACAAAGTAAAATGTTCCAATTTATTGTGCTGTTTTTAAATTAGAAAGCATTATGCATATAGCTTTTTATCAACATTTCTTATGACTTACAAAGACTTTAAGACCCCCATGTGTTCTGTCATGGTTACAAATATAATCAGTAATTTTCAAGATGGTTAATTTGAGAAAGCACTGAGTGTTAAGCAAGTCTAACTGATAGACAAGCTTCAAAAATGATCACCTATGAGGATTTTTGTTTGTTTCTAAATTTCAGTTAGCTTTGTCTTCTCCAATAGAGGTAAAAAATTTGTATGCTTACTCTTTTATCTGTTTAAAAATAAAAACTTAGCACTAGTAACTAGAAGGATTGTATTTGAGAGGTCTTGAGATAACATCATTTGAAGATTTGACAGAAGTCTGGTGAAAATTGCCAAGGTGGGAATCTGTAGCCATAGTAAACAACTAAAGAATGGGTTTGTGATCGTGCCCTGGAATCCACTCCTATTGCATGTTAGATGTGGTGTTGTGAAAGGTTTAAAGCAGAGGTATAGCAGTGAGGAGAATTTCAGATTTTGTGCTTGTTTTTTGGATGTATGGACTGGTTTTTGATCTGGTTGAGTATTGGAATGGTAAATTGTGAGACAGTGTGGTGGGGGAAATGCACCACTAGAGATAATAGGTATCAAATGCTGTTGTGGAAAGGCAGGTAGAATACTGATAAATACAGGCTTTATCTTGAATCACAAGAACTACTTAAAAAAATTCTGTGGTGTTTTCAAAATGCAAAGAAAAACAGGCCAGAACATTTACGTGCAACATCATCTATTATCGTTGTTTACATAACTGCTAATAAGCACATCTCATTTAGGAAATTGTCATTATCCTATCAATGACCTATATTTAAACCCCCACAAATTCTCTTTGTCAGAGTATTTGTAAACATTGCTTAGAATGTTATATATAGGACCTTCATCAATTCTGGATTTTTCGAAAGGTAAAAGACCTTCAAATGTGAATTTAGTAATGAGAAAAACTCTCACCTATTTCAAAATAGGTTGTTAATGATCTGGGACTACAGTTTCATAAGTTGTGGACTTTGGCAATACCAGTTTCAGGCACTACCAGTCATTCAGTCCAACTCTGCTGCCTCTTGAGCTGCATTTTAGTTATACTTCATTACTTTGGTTTTTTTTTCTTCCATGAGGGCTTGGAGTTTTGTTTAGTGAATCATGTGAGTGATCCTGTTTACTACATAGTCCGTAAACAATTTTGTCAGTATTATCTGTAAATAGGGGTAGAACCTGAAGAGAGGGAGCATTAGTAAGCTATGTCAAGTAAAGTAGTACAGAATTTTTTTCCTAAGGCAGAGGAAGGTATAAGCTGAAGTATGTTGCATAAGTAGACCAAGCTGAAGATAACATGTTACTTACAGTTGAAAGTTGTGGATGTTTATTTTGTATTAAGGTACTTTAATTATGCATGGAAAAAGTTATTTGCCCAGGGAGATAATGTGTATGTAACAACAGCATTATTAAGGTTGAAAATAGAATGAGTTTTCAAGATCACCAACACGTAGCAGTTAAAAGAAGGTACTTAAATCTGGATTTGCTTTTTAAAATATTTTAAACATAGTATGTGAGCCTAAATATGTGTATGATAAAGGTGGAAGGAGGTGGTGGTGGGATTATCTGTACTTAGACTTTTTCTGTACATAGTAATATTTTTGAAGATAACTGGTGCAATGCCTCTTCCATCCTGTGTTTGTAGATACAGCATAATAACTCCTAGTTAACTAGTGGATTTTTCATGAAGTGATAACATTAGAATATTATAATTGGAATTCATTTTGGTTTTATTTTTTTTTAGTAATTGCAAGTTAATGAATCTGGGTTTTTTTAGAGGTGCCTGAAAAAGTGACTCACTAGATACGTAGGAAGTAGATGCTGTGCTAAGCATGGAGTGTTCCAAAAAGTGTGAATCAAAGCAAAAGAAAAAGTGGGCTATACTTCACAAAATCTAAATGTGTTCAGCTCAAATCACTGCATATGAGAAGAAACCCTTTAAAATAGTGTAACTGAAATAATCTTAAACTTGTTTTTTTCGGTTTTGTTTTCATTTCTAAAAATAAGCAAGTGGAAGACCTTTGAGAATTTGTATGTGACTTCCAGGCTGAAATGCTTCTGACAGATGTAGAAGCTTTTAGTAGAAACCTGAAACTTCCAAACAGATATCCAGGCTTTCAAAATCTGGAATTACTCAATCCCTGATGTTGTTGTGAGTTGCTATTATGAGCACCTCTTATAGGGAATTCATTGCCACAGTTTACCAAAGGCTCTGAGAAACTGTGAAAAATGAAGTATTTTCTTAGATAAAAAGCACCCCAAAGAACTGGTCATTTTTAATAACTGAAAAAAGTGTGGGCACAAGTTGATGTGTTAATGGTAGCTAGTGCTATTGTTTTAATTTAATTCAGAGTGGATGTCAATTGAATTGAGCACATTCATATCTTGGTGATGGAAATTCTGCATTTCATTTTGGACCACTAATGCAAGAAATACATTGACTAACAGGAGCTGAGATTAGATAGTCTTTTTTTGCTGTATTGTTCTAGGGACTAAAGTAAATTGATATGAAAGAAAGCAAACAAAATTAGTAAAGAGGAAATATGTTACTCACTTAACATTACATAAAATGTTTTGTGGATATTGAGAACTTGGCATGATTCAGGAAAGCACAGAACATTTCCTTTGGATGTTCTGTTTGTTCAGAAGTATTTTAGTAAACTTGTCTTAAAAAACAAAGTGGGATATGAAAAATGGTATTTGGAATTGCAGGGTTTTGGTGGGAAATTTTGTTTCCTGCTGCTTCCAGTAGAGAATGCTGTGTGATACTCTGGCCTGTTTAGTGCTGATCTGTGTAAAGTGTGTTTAGTCTCCCATCTATCAATAGCACTTATTTGGATAGATATCATGTCTGTTATTTGTGTTTTCCTCTATTATATCTTTTTGACTTTCTGTTAGGATTGTTGTCCGAGAGATGAACAGATGTTTTATTTTTCAGTACTCCTGATGTTGCTCTGTGCTTACAGTCTGCAGTGGAGACAGTGTCTTCAAAACATGGAATATTTGTTCCAAGAGCCCTGGGGGATTGAGCTGGGATTTGCTGTAATGCACTAAGGTGAAACTCCAGTGCTTAGGTGCTTCTGCTAAGAGGGTGATGGCAGGCAGCCCTCACATACACCTGGTAATATTTTTATGTAAGTGCTTTTCACCCTGAATGAACCATCCAATTTTATACTGATATGACCATGACAATAGTGTGGGTAGGGAGCTCTTGCTGTTGACCAAGTTGAGCCCCATGGTTTTAGGAGCTGGTGTGGGAGTGCAGGCAGCCATTTATAGTAGAGGTAAGGCAGTGCTGACAAGGATTTCCCTGCAGAGATACCATCTAGAGCCACTGCTGCAGAGTTAATACTGTAATTCTTGGAGCTGATCCATTGCAGTCATGCTGCATCTATCCTGAGCCAGGAACACCAACACATTGATTAGGCTTTAAAAACAAACAAAAATCCCTTTTGTATTTGCAATGAATTTTTACAAACCTCAAATGAATCAGGTTACTTAGCTGGAATGAAGGCCAGTAAATATGTTTTCCTTACATCTCTTATGGGATGGTTTGGGTTTGCTCCTGGTGCCAGGCTTATAAATGCAAAACCTTGCTTCCCTACATTTTTATTATATAAAGTCGTTCTTGATTTTTACTTTTTTATATGTTAGTTGGGCAGTCCAGTGATCCTTTGCAG